ATCGGTTATTACAAATAACCGATTCAAATGCTCCTACCCAAATATGGCGCCATTTCTGGGTAGGGGCATTTGAATCGGTTATTTAGTAATAACCGATGCAAAAAGCCAACTTTCAGAACTGGCGGTAATTTTTTTAAAGGGTTTTTGCATCGGTTTTAGCAACCGATGCAAAACGTATCGGAGTATTTGCATCGCTGGCTTTTGCATCGGTTGGAAACCGATTTAAAAGGGTCCAAATAACCGATTTAAAAAGTCATTTTTGTACTAGTGATAGGGTCTCCTGGGACTACCTTGAAGCCATCATGCAGAAATTTGGTTTTGGATCTAAGACGAGAACCCTTATCTCAAACGAGCTCAAGGCTACCCAACACTTCATCCAAATCAATGGGTACCCCACTAAAGCCATCAACCCTAAAAGAGGACTGAAACAAGGAGACCCCTTATCTCCTCTTCTCTTCATAATTGCAGCAGAAGGCTTAATCACCTTATTAACAGCAAACACATTGGTCCCTACACTATCGGCAGACACTACCAACCTATCAACCACCCTGCCTTTGCAGATGACTTGCTCATTTACCTCAATGGATCATCCTCAAATCTCATTAAATTTTCAAAGTTCCTAAAGGACTATGAGGAAGCTTCTGGCCAAACCATTAATCACAACAAGTGCTACTTCTACCCCCCTCCCAAAACCCTAGAATCTAAAGCTAGAAAGATGGAGAATGTTCTGAATATGAACAAAGGCAGCCTCCCTTTCAAATACCTGGGTGGACACATCCACAAAGGAATTAATAGGAAAAGATACTGCACTGATCTCCTCATTCATTTTGACAAGAAACTCCAAAGCTGGTACAAGAAACTCCTCTCCCAAAGTGGAAGAATGATCCTAATTAAGCATGTCCTAAGTGCAATCCCACTTCACACACTAGGGTGCACAAACTTACCTAAAAGTGTGGTCAAGAGCTTGAATCAAAAGATGAATAACTTTCTTTGGGGTAACAATGATGGAATTCCTAAGTACCACTGGCACAAATGGACACTCTCTGTCTTCCCAAAGCTGAAGGAGGATTAGGCTTCACTAGTCTGGATACTCTTCAAAAGGCTTATGAGCTAAAAAAGTGGTGGACCTACATGCAAAACAGCTCTATTTGGGCCACTTTCCTGCACCAGAGATACCCCAGAGGCCTAAATGTTCCTTCCCAAATCATTGACTCTCCTATATGGAAGAGACTCTGTCAAACCAACGCAATTACAGATGAATACCTTACCCTGAATGACCAAAACCATCTCACCTGGAAGGATGGCCAATCTGGCTTCACTTTACGGCTTGCTAAAGAGGCTGTGAGAGAGAAAAGCAACCCTATTCCTTTCTTAGAATATGCTTGGCACAAGGACCAATATCCCAAAGTCTCCACTTTTCTTTAGAGACTCTACAACAACACCCTACCCTTCCCCAAGCAATTAACCAAATTAAACTTTTGCCTTCCCTCTATATGTCTTTTTTGCAGGAAAAATGAAGATAACGCCAACCATACACTCAAGGATTGTCATTACAGCAAAGCCATTTGGACACATTTTGAATCTCTATTCCATTTCACAAGATCAACTACACATGGGATACGAGCTTACCTAATGGCATGGTGGCAACAGACAGGGCCTGCAAACCCAAATAGAGCAGCAAAAATCGTTCTTCCAGGAATAATAGCCAATGAAATCTGGAAAGAAAGAAAACGAAGAAATCACAATGAGGAGCATAAATCAGAATATCAAATCATCCAAATCATTTGGAAGTCACTCATTGAATGGGCAGCAGTTAAGAACAAAAAGAGTTTGCATTTCGACAATCTAGAACTACCGGGTTTCCACACTCAAGCAATCAAGATCCTAAAAAGGAAGGGAGAAATAGAAGGAGAGATTCTAACCACAGACTTGGCAACAAGAGGGGAGCAAAGTGCGGGGGGAGTAATTCTGCACACAAACACAGGACAATTCATAGCAGCCATTACCTTAACCGTAAGAGCAACTAACTCTCTTGAAGGAGAAGCAGAAGCAGCAATAATGGGCATTAAATGGGCGACCCAATTTACCAATGGGCCAATTCATCTCAGAATGGACTCCCAATCGACAGTCAAAGAAGCAAGAAATCTCCAAAGAGCAGGAGTATTTTCAACTCTCAGAACGCTACTTGAAGCCCATAATCTTTCAATCAAACATGTTTATCGCGAAGAGAACGAAGCGGCCCACAATCTCGCACAACATGCCATCCGATCCAACTTATTTAAAACATTCAATAACTTTTACTCTCTCCTTAAAAATGTAAAGGGAGCCATCACTTGTGACATTTCTTGTACCAACTTCCGAATTATTTAATAAAAATCCTTTCTCTAAAATATATATATGTGTGTGTGTGTGTGTGTGTGTGTGTGTGTATCTGTGTGTGTGTGTGTGTATTTTTTTAACCTGAAAAACTTCACCACTAAGGGTGTGATAGAGCCCAGGGACGCTCTATCTTATTAAATTAAAGAAGAAATTAAAAGTACAAACGGAGAGGGTGGGCTAAACCCAAACAAGGCCCGACAAAGCTAAAAAAAATAAGATAAGGAAAAGCATGAAAACCTGCACCTAATGTGCCCGGAAAACATGAAAAGAAAAGAGTTACAAGAAATTCAAGTTATCCAAATCATCCTCAAACTCCTCAAAAGACTCGGGATCTACTAAATTCTTCGCTTTGACCGCAAAGTGTGCTATTTCCTCCGCCCGAGCCTGTTTGAGTTTCATCTTTGCCTTCTTTTTCTGTTTTTTACTAAGCTTCACTTGGGATTCCGAGGTTGGAGTAAAGGTTTGGATATTCTTCGTTTTGATTGATGGACAACTCCTCTTGAAAGTGGAGCGGATGCCTTCTACAAAAGATTCGCTTTCCTCATCAGATGTGTCAACTCCCTTAATGGGGTGTTCTGTCCTTCCCGCTGCTATAATCTTAGCTCTACTTCTAGTAACCATATGAGATGGTGAGTAGGTTGCCTTACCCTTAGCTAATTTCGGAAGCTGCGATGACATATTAGAGGAACTAGGAGTTATGATTCTAAACGGTTCAAGCTTAGAGTCAATAAAAACAGTTTTCTCTCCTTCAGAGTGAGTGTAGAGGGCAGGTTCTTCAAATCCCGGGCTTGCATCCTCAAGGGCATTTAGTTTCATCATCCTTGCAGTAGAAGAGCAATTAAATAAATCTATCATGTCGCCTGCACTATTGAAATTACGAGCCTCCGAGGGGTCCTCATGGTCCTCACTTGATTCAAGAATCCCGAATGGGTTATAGGAAGTGAGAGTAGGGAGCTACAGGAAGTTGAATGGATTGCCGGTCAACGTTGATAGCGTCACTCCAAGTTTTGACAGGTGCTTCACACCCCATGCCTGCCTCTGCTCCCTCCCAGTGTTCATTAAGGACTGATGGTGTTAAACTTTGATCTAAAGAAGGGGCAGGTATTGCACTCTTGAGAGCATGAATCCCGAACTCAGAAAGTGACTCGGTGTCCATTGCAAACAGACACTTAGAACAAGAGTGTTCTTCCAGGTCTAAACTTGGAGCAGTACAAAGCAATGCTAAATCTCTTTCAACAGCTTTGGGCTTCCTGATGGATTCATTTTCCCAACTAAGAAAAGAGTAGGAAGCTAAAACTTCTTGGTGTATTGATTGCACTAAGGGTGGTAGCCAGTCTCCACCACCGATGCCTGACAGAGCTAACATCAACTGAGCAGAATCTCTCAACCACCTTGCAACCATGCTCATTGGATGAGCATAATCCTGATTTCTTTAATGCACCGCGGTAGAATTGTTGAAGATTCAATGTGAAAACTCTGAGCAGCTGAAAATTCTTTCCTACTGGGACTGAAATTGATCTAGAACCCTGAATTCTAGATTCCGAAATAACCACAAAGTTCTCATTATCAAAATGTTCCACAGCAACTCTAATATCTCTCTTACCAATGTGCTTTGTGAAAACCCAACTAGGCTCAAAACAGATTCTAAAGAGACATTCCAGTATCCAGCTCAAGAGGTCAGAATCGAACCAGATTACCTTGTTATTTTTACCCTCAATAGATAAACAAAAGGTGTGATTGTGAAATGAGTGGAAAAAACAAAATTCCACATTACCCAAAACGAATGATGCTTGCAAGTTCTTTGTCACGTGATTAGTAGGTCGGAACAGAAGCAAACCTTCCCTGTGTAACACCTCCCGAGGGGCTGACGTGTCCAAAATTCGATCATTTGCAATGGAGGATGAATTAGGTTTCTGGGAGGGGTTCCACCAATTTCTACGTTGGATGAGGGAGCCTCTTCGATCACCATGACGATATCTATCCCAGAAATTGTCGCTGCAAGTTGTGGTACCTGGATCGAAGAAATAGTTCCTGTCACCACCTCTATGGAATTGATAGGATTCGCTGGTGGTTCTTCGATCATCATCATAGGACCTTCGATTCTTTGAATTAGAACCAAAGGGTAGTGGTTGCCGGAAAAAAGTAGATCGATCTATAGGGCGGCGGCGTGATTCGCCCCTCTCCCTCCTCTCTCTAAACCTAAACATCCTATATATCTATATATATATGTGTGTGTGTGTGTGTGTCTATATATATATATATATATATATATATATATATATATATATATATATATATATATATATATATATATATAGACACACACACACACACACACACACATATATATATATATACATACATACATATATATATATATATATATCAACTGATTTTGAGAATCGATTAAGTTATATATATAAATCGATTATTATAAAAATAATAATTGATTTTTCCTCAAGTCCAATTCCTGCTCCGAAAATATCCCTGAAAATATTGTTCTAAAATCCTATTTTTGATACCAATTGATTATGATCATTATAAAAATGATTTTTCACAATAAAAGTAATGTTTTTAACAAATAAAAATGTTATGTGATGCATGACGGTAAGTTAAGGTGTTAATGTTGGGAAACGAGGCTTGGATAACGCAGCGGAAAACAAAAATTTATAGTCCAAAACTCGATTCCACCCAAAAACAACTTTCGTAAATTACTAGCCATAGTAAGAAATTTACCTTAACGGTGAAAACGGAGAACAGAGGAACGGTCGGGGATGGTTTTGAGGAGATGAACGTAGCGCCAAACGTATGAAGCCTCCAACGTATCCACACGAACTTGCTCCGGAGTCCTAGATTAAACTTGTGCTAGCAAGTTTAATATAGAATAGTAAAACTATAATAATACTACATTGGGAGTAATAAATATATAGTAAAATATTTATCTTATAAATATTTCTTTATAATATTTTGTGTATATTTCTAACACTTTAGAAAAATAACTTGGAACACAAAATAATATATTTCTCTCCTTTCTCTCTCTATGGCCGAAAATCACACATTAAATGGGGAGGGATTTTTCTCATTTTATAACATAATACATTAAGGAATTTCTAGGAATTTGCTTAGGGACAAAACAAAATAAGATTAGTGTAATGTCCCCAACCAACACAACAAGACAAATATCCTTTTGTTAATCAAATATTTGATTATAAAATCAAATATATTATTAGGTAAAAAATCAAATTATGTTTTGTATTTTTCCCAATGTATTTTCGGCCATCTCACATTAAAATACATTACATTTTATTTTTACATCAATAATTATCATATAATTAAAATGATGAAAATTAAAATAATATATATATACACACACACACACACACATTCGGCGCTACAAATATATATATATAATAAAATTTGTTTTGTCAAAATATAATTATCATATAATTAAAATGATGAAAATTAAAATAATATATATATATATATACACACACACACACACATTCGGCGCTACAAATATATATATATATATAATAAATTTGTTTTGTCAAAATATAATTATCATATAATTAAAATGACACAAACAAAATATAATTTTAAAATACATATGTATTTTCGAAATACATATATATGTATAAAATTATCACAACTATATATTTAATATTACTCCCACTAGTGTAGTATACTACTCCCTTACAAGTCCTAAGTGTGTGACCCTTTAGGTATCCATAACACTGACAATGATATTAATATAAATTAAGACCATAGATAAGAAGCGGTATCTAACAACACATTATTACCCCCAGATTATGAAAAAAACGTTCATCTCATCAATACCTTCTACGACACAAGACGTTCTATAACTATTATCCTTCTGTCCTAAATGTCATGATTTAACACAAGGCATGAGATGTGTATCCTTGTATAGTTAAATCAGCTGTTACTGAATCTCAAGTAGACTGATAGGGATCAGATATTTATCAGTCTCTAGATAGCGACATATCTGGGCATGGCCATGCACTTTCCCAAGTCCTACTATTCAGTGGGTCCATTGACATTATACTTCTATACAGTAGAAGGGACAGATCATGTATCTGTTATTCACATCTCTAAATATGCTTAGCGGCATACCCAACGCATAACTGTACGTCTACCAGTATTTCAGATAGCATTAGTTATGAATCAAAGCATACGGCCCCACATATCAGAGAATGTAATAACTTCTAGTCTGAGGATAGTTATAGCAAGGTCGATTTGAGAATACTGATAAACACATTACTGTAGATCCATGCAGTATTCTCAAGATGGGTCAATCCAGTCACATATTATCGATATAATATGCACCTACGTACAGATTAAGATATCACAATACCTATAGTCTTTGAAACGCAACTATCTCATCTCGTACGCACTAGTCTTGATACGTTATGACGTCCGTATTATCATAAAGTGCGACTAGGGATATTCTAGACATAGCCTTCGTCAAGAAGTAACAGTCTCATAATCAGAACATCGTAGTCCTCATCTATGTTACTAAAGGGCTATCGTCTATGGACTGAAGCTATGTTATGTTACACGAGATATAAAACATACTTCAAGGCCTTTCATTCATGATAAAGTGTACAATTACATAGGTATTTGATTGCCGCTAGGGCACCTAAATACAACAGTTAATAGTTGAAGCTAGGCCACTAATTGTTATTGAATATTATGTTGATTGATGATAACGATTATTAAATGATGATTATGATGATTAAATATTGATGAATATTCTGATTAAAAATGATAATTGTGAATGATTAAATCATAATGAATATATTGGTGATTGTGAAAATCATATGTATTGTTAAGGGTATCTAGAAGACCTCTAAGATATACCCATATTAACGTTGATTTGAAAGGTATCTAGAAGACCTATAAGATATACCAATTTAAGTTAGGCCTTGCGGATATGAACTCCGGTGGCTAGGGTTAAAACGTACATACAGGATCCAAGAACCAAACTTGAGTACCTACTCGTTTAGGGGTACCACCCACCCAACAGTGAACACTACGCTGTCGGTTTCTGGTTGGCCTTAAGTGAAGGTAAGTTTAAGATTTTCAAAACCCTTTTATCTTAAACTAGGCCTAGCTTAAGGATTATTTAGGAATACTTTATACTGGAATGTAGTTTAATTATTTAAACTAGAATTCGTTTAAGGGTTGACAAATATTTTTGCCTTAGACTAAGAATAGTTTAAGGATATTATTGAACGTTGAATATTGAATATGAATAAATATTGAATGATGAATATTGAAATGAATATTGTAATTATTATGAATGACGGATAAACGTTGAATGTGAAAATAAAATAATGAATGATGAATATTGACTAATGATTATTGAGTATCTGAACTGAACATTATGTGCATGATATCAAATGATTTGATTCTGAATTTAGATTCAGTTTATATGGATGTTCGACGCATTAGATATGCTTACTCAGCTTAAACGTTGAGCGTGTAGTATATTTTATTCGCTACACGCAGGTAAACAAAAAGAATGAAGCAATGATTTCCTGGAGGCAAATGGGACGAGATGGTCGGACAGATGTGTGTTTTGGATTTTGATTACTGTTTGAAAAGACATAAATTAATTATATTTGTATTATGTTTTATTAAGATTCCGCAACATTAAATTACTCCGTTATTATTTTGAATGACTTATTATGAAATAAAGTTTTAAATGTTTGAAATATTTTTGAATGTTTACGAATACCAAGTTTATACTTTAGTCCGAAAGGGGCTGCAGACCTGGACGGGATAGGGTGTTACCCTAGGTGATTCACTTATGCCAAACCAAAATGCTTCTAGTGTAACGACTTGAAAATCGGCTTGGTAGTTAGCCGTTATTTTTAATAAAAATAAATATAATATTTATTTACTCAAAAGTAATAGAAATGACTTATTATTTAAAAATTAGGTTTTTAGATAGATCTCGTAAAGTGGCGACCAATGGTATATAGATTGTCAAATTTCGACTTTCGTGTGAAGCGTGATGAGTAAAATAGACATTACAGTTCAACAAATAAATATAAATATTTATATTTTAATAATATTATAATAATAAAAACCTGTTCCTACCCGTATTACAAAACCCTACCCTCCCCACTTTATAAATACGGAGTACGTTTACAGAAAAAGAAAGAAAACTATACGGAGTACTTGTGCGAAACAAAGGAAGGACAACGAACAGAGGAAGAAGGGAGTTCGACGTTGCTTCCGTCGTCCGTGCTCCATGGGAAGTGGTTTGCCGTCGTCCACCACCATTTGAGTAATAATTTAATTCATCTTCAATAATCGAGGTGAATATATGGACAACTAACGCTAGATTACACATATACGTTTGAAATTCATGTTTGTCGTTTCATATGATTGATTAGGTGATTTTTTTATTTTATTATTAATAATGATTTGTTAAAATTATATGCTACTATTGGAATTGATTGAACGAGGACGACCAGGTACATTTTCTTACTCTAAATTAGGGGTGGACACGGTACGGTTCCGGGACGGTTCCGGTTCCGGAACCGCCGGTTCCGGTACCGCCACCCCGAGTAACCGGAAAGTATACCGTGCCGGCCGGTACCGGTTCCGGTTCCCTGACCGGCGGTTCCGGTTCCCGGACCGGCCGGTTTCGCCCCCCCCCCCCCCTATTTTTTTTTTAATTTTTAAATTATAAAAATATAAAATTGTAAATTTGCAAATTGCAATTGTTTAAGGAAAGAATGAAATAAAAAATCTAAAAATGTAGTTGTTATTTAAATATTGAAAATGAGTAATACACTAACTGAAGAACAACCACATTTAATATCCTGACGGTTCAAAAAAAGCGACGAGGTAAAGAACCGTAAAGAAACCCTCGAAGGAGCTTATATATCGCTCACCTAAAAAAATTAATTACATATTTACATTAACATAAAAAAAAATTATAACTTATTCTTCAGAACTCGGACTTCCATCTGTGGTTGCATTCATGTAATGCTCCGATTCGAGTTGGTACGATGACTCTTGAGCCCGACGTCTTGCCAAGAGCCAATCTTGGTTGCAAACCAGTGTTTCAAGAGATTCAGCGTTAAGACAACTTCGGTAGTCGGTTAGAATGTTGCCGCCGGCACTGAATTCTCGTTCAACTGCTACGGTTGATACTGGGACGGACAACACTTGTCTTGCTAGCATGCCGAGACATGGGAACATGTGTTCGTTCCGCTTCCACCATCCGAGCACGTCAAAATCGACATCGTCGTCATCGTAATCGCATGGCACGCCCTGGTACATAGCAAGTTCGTTGTGCGAGCTTACTGTTGTACCACTTGAACTCGTCGAAGACTGGGCACGTTTCCCTTTCTTTGCAAGAAGGCCACCGACTATGCCGGCAAAACCTTTTTTTGATTTCGGGGGCGGAGGTGGTGCTGTTTCTTCTTGTACAGTACCGTATAACCCTTGATATTCCTTAAACAAATCCTCAAAAAGAGTTATAGCATTATCACTTTCATTTTTCCATTATACTAAATAGCTGTAGTAATAACTATTTTTATCTAAAAAACAACTGTAGTAATACTCAATTAGAATTTTAAAATTTTCAATCTTAAATCGTGGATCACAAATAATACCTATTTTATAAATATCAGGAATGTACAAATAATAAGTACACCATTTATCTCTCATAGGAGAGACATAAGAGTACAAATCTGGATCAGCCATACTTTCACGAAAACATGTTGCGATTGTAATGCACTCTTTAAAAAATGTATTTGTAGTTGGTTGGTAAACATGGGAAAAAGTAAGAGTTGCGTTATTAAAAACTTCTAATACGGCATTCAATTTTTCAACAATAACAAATTCAAAAGGATTAATGATTATACGAAGTTCATCCCTAAAA